AGACCTTATAATACAGTATAACTAGAGGCCTGGTGCAGAAAATTAATGCACTGGGGGGTGGGGTTCCCTCAGCCCAGCCTGCCCCTCTCACAGTCTGGGAGCCCTCAGTGAATGTCCTACTGATGGCCACAGTCTGGCAGCAGAGGCTCGGAGCAGGTGTCCCGTGTGTGTGTGTGTGTGTGTGTGTGTGTGTGTGTCTATGTGTCTGCTGCACCACGTAGGCTCAGAGCAGTTGCCCCGTGTGTGTGTGTGTGTGTGTGTGTGTGTGTGTCCACTGGGGGCATGTGATTGTCTACTTCACCGCTCGGAGCAGGCACCCCGTGTGTGAGTGTATGTTTTATTAAATATGAATGCTGGGGCCCTGCCCCCAGCCACATCTTGGAGGCTTGGAGCAGGTGCCCTCTGTGTTGCTCTCTCAGGCTCCTGGCCTCTACTGCCTGTTGTTCTCTCCCTTGAGCTGTGGTCAGGGTGGGGTGCTGCCTGCAGGCTGTGCTTTCCTGCTCACGGATCACCGTGAAGACCCAGGGGCAGGCCCTGCTGGGTGCTGCCTGTGGGGGGCACTTTCCTGCTGGCGGATTGCCATGGCGACCGGAGAGCAGGCCCTCCTGGGTGCTGCCTGCAGGTGGCACTTTCCTGCTCAGGGATTGGGGAGCAGGCCCTGCTGGGGGATGCCTGTAGGCCGCACTTTCCTGCTCTCGTATCGCCATGGCAACGGGGAGCAGGCCCTGCTGAGTGCTGTCTGCGGGCTGCACTTTCCTGCTTGGGGATCACCATAGCAACCAGGAGCAGGCCCTGCTGGGGGCTGCCTGTGGGCTGCACTTTTCTGCTCTCCAATTGCCAGGGCGACCCAGGGGCAGGCCCTCCTGGGTGCTGCCTGCAGGCTGTGCTTTCCTGCTCGCAGATCACCATGGGGTCCTGGCTGGTGGAGGGGCTTAGGCGGCACACAGGAGTCCCGGCTGGAGGCGAGGCTTAGATGGCATGATCCAGCCACCTAAACCCCGCCACCCAGGGCCGCACATGGGGCCCGGATGGCAGCTTGCGCTGGCTCACCCTGTCTGCAGTATGCAAATTAGCCGCCATCTTTGTTGGTGGTTAATTTGCATATCGCTCTGATTGGCTGATGGGCATAATGAAGGTACGGTCAATTAGCATCTTTGTCTTTTATTAGATAGGATGAATCCCTACTATACATTTTTAGTAGTAGGAAAGTAGGAGAGGGCAATTCTAGACTTGGATTATTTGACTAACAAAGCAGAATGCCTTCTTAGTTAATGTAATAGGTGTTTTGTTTTGTTTTTGACCAGATTGACATTCTCAAGAAAAACGCAAAATTACAAGTCATTATTTAGAAAACAAATGCTTATTTATGGGTTTATAAAGAGGGTAATATATATGCTTCAGTAGGTATAAAATATATCACAAACAAGGCAGGGTGAAATTTTATGAATAATTTTATTTTTAAATTTTATTGTTGTTATTGTTTTTTACAATTACAACAATTAAATATTGTTTTTATGTATTTGCCAATCCTTTCAAGTTTATACAAATGGAATCTTCTAGAATTATTTTTTTAAATCTTTATTGTTGAAAATATTACATAGGTCCCCCTTTTATAATTCTTGCAATTCAAACTCAAATAGTGACTCTCTGGCAAAATACCCAAGCCCTCTCTAAAAACATTTTATTTTATGAAAAATTAATAAATTCAAATTCAAATTAGTTCAATAATTTTGTTACAAAATAAAGAGCAGTTTAGAACAAACACTGTGAAAGAAGCACTGAGTTTGAGATTAGAACAAACTAACTTTGAATCAATATTCCTCCAGTTAATAGATATGTGTCATTAGCTGATTTTTACCTCTGTACTGAGATAAACACCATGAAAACTACAAAAGATTCCAAATGTAAAAGGTAATCATTGCTAGTGGGCTCAATGGAGAAGAGAGTTTAGTATATTAAAGTAGGATTTGGTCATGACCCTTGTGCCAGAGGCACTTGTGTAACAAATGACCAGTTGATTTTCTAGGGGTTCATTATATTTCTTCGATTTGAGTCCCCAGTCAGATTCTTAAAAACAGACCCAATAGAATGGTTTATTGTGTCCTATTTACAAGTGAATTAACTCTCCTCACTAAAGTGTTTTAAGTCTCTCCAAGAGGAATAATCATTTTCTGGCCACCACCTTTTTTTGGGGTGCCCTGTCCAGACAGCTGGTGATCTCACCATTTTAAGACTCATACACCAGGCGACCCAGGCATGCCTCTCCCATATGGTCTGCTGGGAAGCTCCGCTGTAAGGCTTTGGTTTCCAAAGTTACTCTACAAAGTACTAGAAGCTCTTAATTGCTGCCATGTACTGCTCTGGTGAGTCTTGGGGTTCTTCCAGACCTCTGGATCTTGGTTAGGAGTAAAATTATTTTTTAGTGCAATTTTTCTCAGCAAAATTTATCTCCCTGTTTCCAAGCTTCTATTTTTCTACCATATCTCATTGGTCATTGTTGTGCTATAATTTTGGATTAGATCCTATGTTCTACAGAGGAAATGTTCACAAATAGAAAAGAGGGAACTTAGGTGGGCTCAAGTAATTGGCACTTTTAAGTTCTTAAGGTAATCATTTTAATCTTAGTTGAAAAATGGACATATTTACCACATGAACCTTACAGAAATGTTGAGTGTTATAGGGTATGCTAAAACTCTTTAAGAACTATAAAGTGCTATCTAAATAAAAAATATTACCATCATTATTACTATTGTTAGGATGACCTATGTTTCTCCCTTATACCCTTACACCCCACCCTTTGCTCTCCAAACCTGTTTGGAATAAGGTAGGGCAAGTTTGAGTAAAGTACCACTCCCTATTTTTAGGGGCCCTAAGATTCCCCAAAAGCACTCTCATGAGGCTCTGATTATACTGTGCAAATTTATCAAACACAGACATAAAGAACTCTCAACAATTAAGATAGCTCATCAGATATGTACAAATGCCACATATATTCAACTGAGGTCATAGAGTTACTCTCTGGCAGGTATTTTGCCACTGAAATGTGAGGGTGAGTAATAGAAAACTAGGAACAAGAAAACTACCTGGACAGAGATCCCTTGGTTCCCATGTAGACAGGAATCTCCAAAATGAGTGTGACCTCTACACAGTGATGGAACAGCCTTGGTCAGAGCAGTGATTAATTGTACAGACTTTTCAAACCATATAATTTTGTTCAGTAGGGTCAGTCAGTCACAGCCACTCTTTAATCAAGCCTGATTACAATCACTAACATTGAGTGAGCACTTACTATCTCTTTCAGTTCTCATAATGTCCCTGTGGGAATCATCTGCATTTTACAGAGTAATAAAATCAGCTCTAGTAAATGAGGCAAGGTCACATGATAGTGAGTATAGAGGCATTACATCTAAAAAGAACCCAGTCGCTTTTCACCACACATGCAACCTCTCTTCAGAGAGCTGGTGAGGCTTCTGTGACCAAAGCAAACTCTTAAAAAAAAGTAACGTGAGTGAAATATTGCTTATTTTCTGTTCAAGACTATGTGAGTTTGCAGGATTGGCTAGAAGAAGTGGAATATCACAAATATGCACAACTAGTCTATTACCGCACTGTCTTTATATACTTTCCTAAGAGCCTTACCCATAATAGTGTACAATACATACATTAGATGTAACCCAATAATAAAAAAAAGCAACTCTCGGGTTCTTTCTTGTTCATGAGAAAGCAACATAGAGAATTTTCTTAATATTTGATAGATCACATACAGACCGGATTATATAGATGAGTGATATACTGAAAAACCCATCTGGGCAATTAAGAGAAAGTGGCAATTTTCCTTTTAATTATTGAAATAATTATCTAAATTTTTTACTTCCTATTTACAAAGTGAGTCTAAAAATTGGAGGAGGAGAAGACAAGAAGCCAGTGTTTTCACTCCCTATCTCATAACCCCTTCACTTAAATTTTATTGTCTTTGCAGAAAAACAGTTGTCAGGTCAATGAATTAACAAGAATGTATTGCCCACTTTGGGCCAAGCAGTCTTTTAAGTATTACTGTTGTAACAAGAAGAAAGGCAGAGAACATGGCACAGAAAGAAGCCATAAAAAAGGCAGATGGGGTGGCAGATGAGTTAGTGGGAGCTTGTGGATGCTCTCTTCTGATCATTTCTATTTTCTCAGTAAAATGGAATCAAGGTCATTAGCTGAGGGTGAGGTTGAAAGAGGAGTTATTGGAGACTTGAGAAGAGAAGTTATACAATAATTGTTTATTTCTCACACTAGGAGAAAGAGAGAGTAATAATTAGTATGATGACCAGAAAGCACTAAGGACCAACGTATGATTAGTGGTCCTGCATTTAAAGTGAGATTCATCAGCATAGTTGATCATTTTTGCCCAGCCACAGTTGTATAATCACAAAGTATCTCGAAAGTTGTATTTGGAGTTTTACTACATGATTATGACTGAGAGAGGATTATAGGAATGAAGGTATGTGCCAGGGGATGGGTATAATGAGGGACCGTGGGATTTATCCCGGGTAAGTGAGCACTGCCAGCATGAGAACGATGGGAGACAGTGAAACATATATAAATGCCACTGGGATTCAAGTCAGGGTACAAAGGCAGTGAGCTGGAAAGATGAGTGGTGGTAGTTGAAGAGTTGGATTATTAAAATTTAGATTATGGAGAAATTGAAGCTGTTGAGAATAACAGTATAGAGAACATGAGTATGAGAGTGGGCAGCTGAAGTAGAGAGAAAAACAAGGTCATTGGCACAAATAATGAAGACAGAAAATAGAATGTAAACAACACAACAAAATAGACAGCAACAAAGCAGTATAGGAAACTTCAAGGTAGCTGCTAAGGGGAGTGAGGGGGGCAGGAACAGTTGTGAGAGGAACTGGCCCTTAAGCATTAGAGCATCACAGTGAAAGATTTCCAGAAAAAGAAATGCCAGCAGCTGGGGAAAGGAAGTTAGAAATACAGAGGAAGGGGGACATTTTAGACAGAGGATATTGTAAGCAGAACAGTGGTGGGTGAATGTAAGGAACAGAAGAACACATGTGCGGGCAAGTACTATACATTAAGCCAAAGGTAGGTTAAACATAGTCAATGAAAGGCCCTTATTTTAAAAATGAAAAATATATCATGCCCTTTCATATTTAAAATTGTCCATTGGGTTCCTATACCCTTAGAATTAATGACACCTTGCCATGGCCTTCAGGGGCCCCATGATTTGGTCCTTGCCTGTCTCTCTGGTTTAACCTTCTCTAGTCTTTGTTGGATCCACCGGGATCCAGCAACACTGGCCTCATTTCTTTCAGGAACTCAACAAGCTACTCCTTTTCCAGCTCCAGGAACTTGCTGCCACCTGGTTGTCCGTTCCCAGTTCTTCTAAAAGTTATTTCCTCATAATTCGCCTCTAAGATCAAATGGCCTCTCTTCAGGGATGACTTCCTGCTACCCAGTTAAGGACCCCACCACAGGCCTCTAGTCACTTTTTATTCAGTAATGTATTTTATTTCCATGAGTGAAATTTCCATGGCTTGTTTATTTTCAGTTTCCTTTCACTAAACTACTTACCACAGTTTTTTCAGCAACTGAATCAGTTTTTAGCACATAATGGGATCTTGGTAAATATCTCTTAATAAATGAATACTAAGCTAAAGAGTTTATAGCCTCTGTAATGAGAACTATAGGAAGGTTTTTGAGCTATAGATTCACATTATCAGAACTATATATTTGTTTTAACTAGGGGTGGTGAACACACAATACAACATACAAATGAGGCATTATAGGATTGTACACCTGCTGTATCGGTGAAGAAATTGCTTCGGCATATGTCTGAGATTTTGTTGCCTTTGGATTCCTCTAGTATTTTTATGGTTTCCTGTCTTACATTTAAGTCCTTTATCCATTTTGAGTTTATTTTTGTATATGGTGTAAGTTGGTGGTCTAGTTTCATTTTTTTGCATGTATCTGTCCAATTTTCCCAACACCATTTATTGAAGAGACTGTCTTGACTCCATTGTATGTTCTTGCTTCCTTTGTCAAATATTAATTGAGCATATTGGTTCGGGTTGATTTCTGGGCTCTCTATACTATTCCATTGATCTATATGTCTGCTCTTGTGCCAGTACAAGGCAGTTTTGAGAACAGTGGCTTTGTAATACAGCTTGATATCTGGTATTGAGATCCCACCTACTTTGTTCTTCTTTCTCAGGATTGCTGCAGCTATTCGGGGTCTTTTTTTTTATTCTAGATGAATTTTTGGAGAGTTCGTTCTAGATTTGTGAAATAAAGCATGCAGTCTTAACTCCTATGATATCACATTGATGGATTTTGAAGATAGTATATTAAGTGAAAGAAGACAGGTAAAAAAAGCCACACATTAAATGGCTCTATTCATAAGAAATGTCTCTAATACACAAATCCATAGCAACATAAAGTAGATTAGCAGTTGCTTAGGTTTGGGGGCAATAGCGAGTGACTATTAATGGTTATGGGCTTTCTATTTGGGAGATAAAATGCTTGAAAATTGGTTTTGGTGATGGTTCTACAACATTGAACATATTGAGTTCATTGAATAGTATACTTCAAGTGAGTGAAATATATGGTATGTTAATTATATATCAATATAGACATTAAAGAAAGAAAAAAAAGAGAGAAAAGTAAGGCAGGAAAAAAGGCAGAAAGGGGACATCAAATGACTCTGGATGCTCAAAAGTGAGTTTTAATTAAAAGTAAAAACTCCTGACAGCTATTGTTCACTGCAGCTCTCCAAGTCATCCAACTATCATTATCTTTCTCTTTGGCATTCGTGTGATATCTCCAGCAGAATTAAATAGTTCTTTCAGGCTCAAGAAAGGCCTGATTTAATTTTCTTTTCACATTTCAAATTTTATTTTTTTATATTAAAATGATTCCCAACTGTCACATACAAGTGACAGTAGGACTTGCTCATTAGAAAACATTTGTAGCTAATACATTTTTGCATGTATTAACATTCAAAACAAGGCCCACTTTCTTCTAAAGGTCAAAATTTGTTGTTAAATCACAGTAGGAAGCAAGATGATTAAGGATAAGTGATGATTAACTAAAAACATTAGTAAGAAAGCAGGAAAATGTACCAATAAAACTGAAGCAATATTGGCCAAAGTGGGTAGGAAGTACTGCTTGGGACACTCGCCTTATCTTCAATAGCTCAGGTCAATTCTTTTTTGTCCTCATGTGTTTTAATTACCTCAATACTCTAAAATTTCCTTCAAGGAACAGCTTCTCATGGAACCTCACCATGTAAATTGGTATTAATGAACAGAGATGTGAAGAGTAGCACTCCTGAACTTGATTATTTCCTTTTGAACTCTTTCACAACTAAAACACCAGTTATTTTAAATATGACATCAATCAACTTTTCACTTATGAAACATGCCTTTCTTATTTGCATAATGTGGGGTTAAAGAAACAAGACACACAGCTTTTCAGAACATGAAATATAAAAGGAAGCACGAATGTTAATTTAATCTTATGCACAACTTTTAGTATTCCTACTCACATCATAGATTTTATAAAAGTCTCATCCTATCTGGTGGTACAATTAAAGTGATCATTGTCATCATTGTTAAGCCACCACTATTATGAATGATAACACCCCCACCTCCTGATATTTTCATAACAACTTTTTTCCAGAGTTCTCTGTCTTCTCCAGGCAGTAGATTAAAACCCCAGCTACATGATTCACCCATCTTGTCTTGTCTTAAATTTTCTCATACCCATTGTTGTTGTCCAGTAACTCTTTCCCAAGGATGCTCCAAAATGTGCTCACCACAAGATGGCTACCTCTAAACCTTGTGATTGATTACTCTTGAAGGCTCTAGAGGTCCTTTCCCTAAGCTTTAAATCTCTTATCTGCTGGAAACCCCCTTGGAGATCATCAGGGCTTTGCTAGGCTCCCAAATTTCTTCCTAATCTGTGCATAGTTTGTACACAGCCACTCAGATTCCAAGATCCTAGGCACAAGTTTCCTCCTCTTTCTTTCAAGAGCAGCACATCTACCATCCAGCACACACTTTCCACCAACTCACCCTACCCCAGTATGCATTCCTTCGTTATCATTTCTCTGCTGCTTTTGATAATAAAAATAATAAAATAAACAAAACTCCTAAGTCCTCACCATGTTTTAGTTACGGTTCTAAGTGCTCTTACTTATATTAACTCAATTGTCTCTGCAGAAGGTGCAATACCCGCCGAAACCGGTTTGGCTTAGTGGATAGAGTGTTGGCCTGTGGACTGAAAGGTCCCAGGTTCGATTCCGGTCAAGGGCATGTACCTGGGTTGCGGGCACAACCCCAGTAGGAGATGTGCAGGAGGCAGCTGATCGATGTTTCTCTCTCATCGATGTTTCTAACTCTCTATCTCTCTCCCTTCCTCTCTGTAAAATATCAATAAAAAAAAAGAAGGTGCAATACCCATAAGGTGGGTAATTTTAGCTCCATTTTATAGATAAGGAAGCTAAGGCATAGAGGTTGAATGACTGCCAGTGCCCCACAGTAGGGGAGCTGGGATAGGCACTCATTTCAGCTGGCTGCAGAACTCACACTCTTAACCACTATGCTGAACAACCTCTTTCATGTGGCCACTGCTGTGGCAAAAAGAAATCCTTTTATTCCTCATCCTTGACTCATTGAGTGACAACATTTGATAATATAAATAATTTTAAAAGCACCCGGAAAAAAAACCACAGGTGTCAGGAGAGCTATCTAAGAGAATAGGCCCTGAAGATGTACCTTGGTAAAGCTACATTGAAAAGAGCCAAGCCCTAACTGGTTTGGCTCAGTGGATAGAGCACTGGCCTGCAGACTGAAAGGTCCCAGGTTCGATTCCAGAAAAGGGCATGTGCCTTGGTTGCGGGCACATACCCAATAGGAGGTGTGCAGGAGGCAGCTGATCAATGTTTCTCTCTCATCAATATTTCTAACTCTCTATCCCTCTCTCTACCTCTCTGTAAAAAATCAATAAAACATATATTTTTTTTTAAAAAAAGAAAAGAGCCAGAGGAGTCGATTCCATTCTGTTGAGGTCAAGAAGTACCTCCCCAGGAGACAGTCTGGGTAATGAGCCACTCAGTATTAACATAAAGGTAGGGAAGAGATTAAATAGAAGACACTTTTCAAAATGCTTCTCTTCTTTGTGAAAAATTTTCTAGACTGACCTGCTGAGTGGGTAGCTTTCATCACTGCTCATCTTTTCTTTGGCAGGAATACTTCAAAGATGAGGTCACATATTTTACTTTTGATTGAATGTCAAAAGTTTCTCTAAGGCTGTATTTTCCTGTATTACAATGAACCTGTTTAGTCATCTTGCTGGGATAGGCTGACCAAATTAAAAGTTTTGAATTAGAATGGTTAGGGGGAGAAAGAGGCCAAGAAAGAAAGAAGACTTGTCCTTTAGCAATTTGTAATTATAAAACTTGTATTGTATTCCAAGTAACTGCTTTATCTTTCCCCTCCTGCTATGTTTGAAAAACTCATCTCTAGCA